TTTTTTTTAATCTTGCCAATTAACATTTCTGTAGCACTGATTAAGGTACAAAATTTCTCACATTCACAATCTAGTTAGGAGCAAACTAGTTAGGCAGTTAAAACAAATATCATCACATTAAACCCCAATGAGCCAGAGGAAGAACCATTGTTTAGAGAACTCAACTGTGTTTTCGAACTCTAAATCCCATGATGTTTTATTTTACACACCAATTCATGAAGATTTATTTAGTTTTTTATTTGTATTTATTTATTTATTTTCTGGTAGAGGGTCTATCTCTGTTGCCCAAGACGGTCTCAAACACCTGAGTGATCCTCCCACCTCAGCATCCCAAAGTGCTAGGATTACAGATTACACGTGTTAGCCACTAAGGCCAGCCGGCAATTTATTTCTTAAATAGCATTTGTATTTGATTATTCTAAGTACCTGTAACTAAAATAGTCTCAGGTCAGTAGGCACAAAAAAAAAAAAGGAAAAAAATCTTTCTTTTTGCTCAACTATTATTAGGAAAAAATGGATTTTATGTTAATAAGGGAAAAATGAAATACAGAATCCCTGAAGAGTGTGTGTGTGTGTGTGTGTGTGTGTGTGTAAGGCATGGTTAGTTCAGTTGTCTAAGAGTATATTTTCACGTAGGTTGTCATCACAATAAAAATTCTGTGTTCACTAAAGTCATACTGACCCATGTGTATATCTTTTTTTTACAAAGAAACCTTCTAAATGCATCATTGGCTCAGAATTCAGACTCCACTCTCAATTTTCAAATTGTTTGTTTGTTTGTTGATTTGTTTGTTTTTGAAAGTCAAAGCCCATTAGTGAAAAAAAGTTGAGATCCCATTCCCAAAGAGACTTTGAGATCCTACAACTTTGGGCATAAAAAGAGACATCTTTTCATCTAAAAAAGAAAATAAATTAGACATTTAAGTTTTCTCAGCATACTGCCTGTCCTTAACTATTTTCTATCACAATTTCATTTACTGTAGTCTTTTCTTATCTCTTCAATAAAAATAAAGGCCCACTGATTACATCTGCTGCTTGTCATGCCGTTAGTTACTAAATATTTGTTGACTGAGAATCATTAAATGAACGTTATCACAAGGATATGGAGAAATTTTAAATGACGCAATACATCTTTATACAGAGTGGAATTTTAAAAATCAATGTAAATTGGGAAAAGAAGTTAACAGAGGACATTTTTGCAATAAAAATATGGACCAGGTAATTTTAGTTTTCTATTTACACAATATTTTTTAAATTACTGGACTTTCAACATTTAAGCATTAAGTCCAAGAACATACAATTTTTAAATGCAATTCTACAAACACATACAGCACAACTTTCAATAATGAGCAATAGTCATTATGACAGTTCACAAATCTAGTTTTCATATAGTCTCTTTTCTATATTTTTATATTTATAGAAACTGTTAAGTGGGTTTCATCATAAATGTAGGGGTAGGGAGACCAAATGCAACTATCAGATATTAATGGTAGTTCTTATAGTAGTTGGGTATCTTTACATAAAAATTTAACTTAAACATTCTCAATATCCTCAACCTCTACATGGAATTTTAAAAAAGAAAACTAGTAAAATAGAATGCCTTGATTATAGCCAGATTTCTAAGTGGTCTAGTAACAAAAAGTCAAGGCAGTGACGTAGAGAAGATGGGGAAGTACCTGTGTTTATGTAAAAGAAAAAATTATTAATAACAAACATTATTTAAGTGAGTAGTCTCTTATCCTCAAAATACGTTGAATAATTACCACCACATCAAGCTAATCTGAATTATTAGATCTCATGGTCTTTTACAAAAGTGTCCATGAAATTTTCCAACAACTTCCCAGACACTTCTAATTTTTGGGACTACACCGTGAATTATTTTCAGTCCTTAGACCTGTACTTTCCAGTAAAGAAGCCAGTAGCTACCAGAGGTGATAGAGCACTTGAAATGAGGCTAGTGCAACTTAGAAACTGAATTTTATATTTTATTTCATCTTAATTAATTTATTAAATTTAAATTTTAAAAGTGTTATTCAAGTCAGTTACTGGAAACCTCTTAATTTTGTTTGGAAAAAAACTGGGTATATGAACATACTTTTAAACTGAAAATTTTATTAAACTTTAAATTAAGTGCAGTCCGCCCTCAGGTTGCACATCTACTGATTCAACCAATCTTAGATTGAAACTATTTGAAAAAGAAAAATGGATGGTTGCATCTGCACTGAACACTGAAACAGCCTTTTTTTCTTGTTATTATTCCATAAACAATATAGTATTTATACAACATTTACATTGTATTAGGTACTGTAAATAATCTAGACATAATTGAAAGTATAAGAGAACATGCATCTAGGTTATATGCAAATACTACATCATTTTATACAAGAGATTTAAGCATCCTTGGATTTTGGTATCCACGAGAAGTTGTAGAACAAGTCCCCTAATGATACTGAAAGATTACTGTATTTGCAATGAAAACTTACTATCTGAATTAAGACTTGCTGTACCCAGATTTCAAAGATGTAGTATAATAAAAGAATAAAAATCTCATCAATAAAATTTACATTGATTAAATATTAAAAAGATAATATTTTTATATCCTAGGTAAATATAATTTATTATTATTAAATTTTATTATACTGTTCTCCTTTCACTTTTTAAATATTGTTACTAAAATTTCTGAATCACATAAGTTGCTTGCATTTTATTTCTGTGGGACAGTGTTGTCTTAGACAATGCATATTAATGTAAAACCCAAAGTTTTGTTAAGTCAAGTTCCTTTAAGAATAATTTACATTGCATCAAAATTTGTTCTATATACATGTACAGTTCTATAAATTTTGATTAATTCATACAGTCAGGTAACTAGCACCACAGTCATGATATGAAACATTTTCACCATCCCCAAAAGTTCCCTCATGTCCCTTTGTAATCAACCTTTACCCACCACCCCAACCCCTGACAACAATGATCTGTTTTCTGTCCCGACAGTTTTGCTGTTTCTAAAATGCCATAAAAGTTTAATAATACAGCATATAGACTTTTGAACCCAGTGAAATCAAATTTTAAATATTATACCATTCTATGGTATTAAAGGATTATGATCATTTTGATATTCCTTTTCCTTGTATCAAGAACCTTTACCAAGGCCTGTTTTTTTCCAGTTATTCCACTTTCAAAACTGAACTTTCTTCCTTGTCATCATTCTAGTAATGTATTTACCCTTCAAGAATAAAACCTAGTAGATTGTATTACAGTTATTTACATTACAGTCCTTCCTCCCACCAGACTCTAAGCTAGAAACCCGACTTTGTTTTCCATAGCATTAACTCTGTCTAGTGCAGTTAACAGTGCAAATGACGAGGCTGAGAAGAGATTTCCCATTGTGTTCTAAAACAAGGTAAAGGAAAAAAAGAAATGAGTGATGGAGGTTACTCACCAGATTAGCCATCTCCGAAATTTTATTGAAGTCTCCGAAAAGAGTATAAGGCTATACAGAGGATCACAAGAGATATGATTCCAGCCAGCCAGGTGTGAATGCTAGTGGAGCTTTAACTATGCCAGTATTTTTACCTGGATTGCTACTTGTTTTGTCATAGCTTGCTAACAAAGTTGAGTAAATTTGGAGTTGTCTTCCTAATAGCATTTTTCTCGTAAACCTTGTTATTTCTAGTACATGATTTTACAGAACAGAAAGTCAAGAATACACGTATCACATTATAACAGAAACAGCTGCACCACACAAAGAACTTAATAAATTAGAAGGTTCTATCTGAAAAGTCTGATATTTATTTGTAATCATTAATGTCCGTATGGTTAAATATATGAAATATAAGAAATACATGTATTAAATAGTTAATAAGATATCACTATTTAGTTCAATGCTTTCAAGTACTTACTAAAATCTCCAGTAAGAAAAACTCCTTCTGCTCCCGGGGCCCATTCTTTGCAGTATAAACCACCATCAGCACATCTGTGGACGCCAAATGATTCATAGCCTCTGGAAAACTTATCAATACCACCTTCGTTTTCTCCAATGTTGTTCAAAATTTGGCTAAACTGTTTATACCTTTGAAGAAGTGTGAAAGAAAATAAGTTAGAAAATTAAATAGTCTTCTAGAAAAGCTACTGTAATTAACTGCTTTAGTCTTACTTAGGGAAAAAAGGACATTATTAAAGAGGAATAATATAAATAATTTCATTTATTAGTAGAGGTTACCTAGTAGGATAAAATCACTCTTATTTAAAATAAACTGAGCTAATCTAACTAGCATTTTTGGTAACTTCAAGCACTGGTATGAGAGACGAAACATGATGGTTATACTATTTCATGAATTTTTTAAAAACTAGCATTATAGCAACTTCCATGTCAAGACAGTGTAATGAAACAGAATCTCTACATCTCTCTCCTCTGATTCCTAAGGAAATGAAATAACACAGTCAAAATTCAGCAAGAAAAATAAAATTAGCCTACTGCAGGGTTTGGCAAACTTTTCCTGTTAAGGGGCAGACGGCAAATATTTTAGGCTTTGTCAGCCATATGGTCTCTGTCACAGCTACTCAAGGATGTCTCTGAAGTATGAAAGGGGCCATGGACAAAAAGTTAATGAGTGGGTGTGGCTGTGTTCCAGTAACACTTTATTTACAAAAACAGGTGGTGGGCCAGATTTGGCCTGCAGCCTTTTCCTTCCCTAAAGCAACTAAGCATGGCAAGAACATACATCATATTAAAGTAGAAAAGCCAGTGGCCACAAGAAGAAATCACAGATTCCTAAGCAGGACCAAGAACAGCGCATGCCTGCTCCTGATCCTTTCCCAGTTCCCCTATATCAGGTACCAGTACACCAAAATTACTACCCTATTTTCATTAGTATCCCCTATATCCAGTAAGAAACAAACTAGGAAAAACTTGGTAAAACTGGCGAAGTCAACCATGTAGCTGGTGCTGTATGTCAGAAGTGAAGGTTCCAGAACTATACAAAATTGTATACAATATTGTATACAATACTATACAAGCCAATAGGCTTCTCTATACCTCCCCATTCCCTCAGGGCTAAGCAATCTTGCCCTGAAAGATGGCAGGAATCTAGGTACGGGATATCCAGGGAATATACAAAATTTGAGATGCAGAATAATGAACAATATCTCAACTTAGCTACATAGAAAATTGACCTTTTTACAAATGTTTCACATTATACAACTTAATTAAAAATAAACTCAAAAGAATAAGAGCTGAAAGATTATATGACAAGAGAATGAAAAGTAAAAGACTGTAGACTTAACGAAATAAATGGAGGAATAAAGTATATCAATAGATAACGATGAATAAGTTTAGACTCAGCAAAAAAAAGTACATAGTATAGCAAAAATAACAAATTATTAAATGAATAAATAATTGAGAATTGAAATAATTAAAGAAAAACAATGAATTTGAATATATTAAAGAGAACCTAAGAGACACCCAACATAGACAAAAAAAATACGATCCAAATATGGATAGCTGCTGACTGAAAAATAAAACTAAATAAAATGAATATAGATGGAATAAAACTGGAAAATTTTCCTAAAGAATTAAATCCACATGTTAAAAAGAGCATACAATTTTTTAAGAAAAGTTTGGGAGACAAACACACACAAAATATATTCCAATTTAAGCAACTGAAATTCAAAAGATAAAAGAAATGAGTCTATAGACAACCAGGCAGAAAAAGGCAACATCAATTAAAAACCAAAAGATAAAACCAACTCCACACAATTCTAAGAAGGAAAAGTAGTAATCTAGGAATATCCTAGGAGACAAGTTTCTATTCATATCTAAAGAATTTTTTAAAATACTGTCAAATTTAAAATTGAGTTTTAGTCAATGACACTAATGAACCATTCTTGAAGAAAAATAAGCTACTTTCCATTTTTCTAAATGGCAATTAAAAATTAAAAACAAACACAAGAACGAACAGTTATTGTAGGAGTGTGTCTAAGAACTGACTCCTTAAATATAGAACCTTGGCTAGACAATCGTGGAACTGTGTGAATGTGATCATGAAAAGGGATCTCAGCTGACAAAGTAAAAACATTGTATTTAAAAAAAGAGATGAGTGAAAGGAGGATGAAATTTTATAGCAGAGAATCACTCAACACAGAGTAAAATTTAAGGTTGTCATCATTATACTCTTTCATGTCTTTATTAATCTTAGACGAGCACTGAAATAAAACTTTACAGTAAAGAAAGTTGTATATGAATTCCAATAATTTCTTCTTTTCATTTCACTTTAATTTCATTGTTTAAATTAAAGTTAACAGACATTTATTTTCTCATGTCTCATTATAGTATTTCTATCAAGCATTTTCTCTAACCTTCCATCTAAAGATAGGCATACAAAAATATCAAGAATTATATACCCTTAATATCAGTGAAGATTATTTTGGTGACGTTTCTTTTTACTTTCTCCATTTCATTGTTCTAATTATGTATAACAAATAACTACCATTTAAAGAAAAATGAAGTACAGTTTTCCTAAAACTATAATTTTTCACATAATTAACACAGCAACATAATTTTATATAATAGTTATAGGAATTTTACTGAGTATGTAAAACTAGGTTTATAAAATTTGAGGAACTTAAATCATTTGAAATAGATCTATGGAGCAAATCCGAGTTTCTGAAAGAGTATTAAGCCGAAGTAAAAATTCAATATGTGATGAAAGGGCATTTCAAAACAGTAAGAAAAGGATAGCTTATTCAATAAAATATTGAAATCTATAAGTCTGTCATAAAAAGTAGATCTCTAAAACAAAATAACTTACAGAGAGATCAGACTTGTAAACTTTAATAGTTTAAAAATAAGTCCAAGTGTTCATGGAAAATGAAGCACAGGTAGCCAATAAACATTAGAAACAATGATCAAATTCATATATAACTAAAGAAGTGCAAACCTAAACTTCAGAATTCAATTTTCCACCTAAAAGACCCAGAAACATATGATAGTCTATACAGATGGGATATGGTTCAGGAGAAAAGACATTTTCAAATGCTCTTGGTTGAAATATCAATTAGAAAACAATTTGACAACAGCTTTGAAAATTTCAAAATCACACTCTTCAAGTAAGTAACTCTATTTTTAGAAATCTGTCCTTTGGATATACATCACACAAAGATGCAAAGACATCTATGTATACAATACTATGTATTCTTTATGGCATTATTTATAATACAAAACCATGGAAAATAACCTACCTTTGCAACAATGGGAAACTAGGTGAATGAACTGTGGAATATCCAAATGATAAATTATATGACAACCATTAAAAAAAATGAAGTAGGGCAAAATGTGCTGATATGGAATCCTGCCCGAAATAATCCCAGTCTCACAAGATAGTTTTTATTCAAGGGGACATAAACTGAACCACCCAAATGAGCCAGGCTGGTGTAACAAATATGAGGAGCTGACAACACACAAGAAACACAAAAATTGCAAAGTTGATGATAAAATAATTAAGGAAAACAAAGCAGAAACTGTTGAGATGGAAAGTACAAGCCTCATCTAAAAGCACAGCCTCTATTTAATAGTTACAGCTCATTGTTACGTAGCATATTTTGTCCAATCATGTAATTATTCAAGAACATTAAAAAATACAGATTTTTCTATGAACTCTTCCTAATGTAAACAGTGGCAACTGCTTCAAAATACTTAAAATACTTACCTAGACAAACAAACCAGATATGCAGGCCTGATGGAACACCATATGCAAACTCTTTAAATCATATGAGAAAATGTTGTGTGTGTGTGTGGTTTTTTTAACCTCTTCCAGATATCAGTCAGCTATATTTCTTGGAATATGGAAATGCTAATCCATATTAAATTATATAAGTAATAACAGGCAATACAAACAATGTGGAACAATCAACAAAACAAAAATTGAACTTAGGGTAAAAGATATACACACACATATACCCTCATAATAAAAGGAAAACTACTGATTTTCCAAAAAGGTATAACATTGGGAGGGTAAACAAATGTAATCATTTTACTTTCAATGTTGGTATAATACCTTACGATAAACTTTTAGATTTATGTAAAGTTTAAGTTTAAAAAATAATCATTTTCTAAAAAAGTTTCTTAAAGTATTTTCAAATGTCCCATTTAGTAAAATTTCAATGGAAACACGATTATAGCATTATATTACTTTAAGTATCTTGACTTCCCTCAAGGTCAGCCCTACAGCTTCTGATACAGAAATACACATTGCACTTTGAAATCACTGTGGCTCAAAAAGGAAAATGCCTGAGGATACAGCAAGCTCATCATGCCTGTGCCCTCTCCTACTATAGTCATCTCTCTTAATATTTTGCTATGAATTTAGAGGATATTTAAAAACTAGGTCAAATTTTTGGTAACCAAGAAGATAAAATGAAATTAGTATAGGAACTAGCATTTTGTATAGATATAAAGAACTGTTACAAAAATTATCAGATGTGACCTCTATATCAATGTTTTAAATCCTCTGTTACATAGGAAGAGACAGAGGCAAACATAAATAAATAAATTGTCCAAGATCAAGAAGGTAATAAGCAATAAGGACATCACATCATTAATCACAAAGGGTAGATTTCAAGTTAAATCTCAAATTAAAAGTCATATTTCACTTTTAAAGAAAGTTATTTATGTTTTACTCTTAAGGTAATTAATCTTATAATTCTGTTTAATCTTATAATTATATTTAATTAATTTAATCTTATAATTAAGAGAATCAGGGGTAGCTGATATTAGCTTTACTTCCAGAAATAGTCTACTTTCAAGTCCAGACTCACATATACCATATGTGACTCTGAACAAGTCCCTTCATCTCCTTTTTCCTGATTTTCTTAACACATTAACTGGGGGCTCGAGGGAACCTCACAGATTGTAAGGAATCAATGAAACACAGTAGGAGCATTCCCCACAGCGTTCAATAAATGGTAGCTGGAACTTTTCTCCACCTTGAAGTGGTAACACTATAGTGTACTTTTACTTTATCAATTTTCTTTTACTTATTACAGTTGCTTAGATTTTAAAACACATATTAGCTA